TCCCAATCCACATAATCGTAACCCCCCACTACGAGACTTTCTCGGTATATTTATGAGCCATGCCTAACATATATTTATACATATATAATAATAACTACGTACACCCCAAATAAAATATATGCCTGATACAGGAGTGCCTTGAATTTTTGTTATGACTTGAGATACAAGAGAATTTCAAAACAATACATACACATTCTTATTAAGGCAGTCGTCTGCTTCTTGGGCCGTTATTGATGATGTCACTAAGAAGTTTGAAACTTTTCATTCTTGAGTCTTATGATCTGTCAGACTTCATGGTTCTAAGAATCAAAGAATGTCTCCCTTGCCATTGCATTTTATTCAAGGATCTCTATCATTTTTGAGAAATCATCTTGTTTATTTGCCCCAGATCAAAACATCTTGGGATTGAATAGTTATCCATATGAATTCAGCTCATATATCTTTTCTCGACCTACTCTTTTACAAATGAACATGAGTGTCAAGGTTTAAGGCTACTTTGGATTCCCTATATTTAATATTAGCTTAAAGTAATACCAAGAAATATTTTGCTTTCTTTTGAACTCTGTTAATCTATTTATAATATGCTTGTAAATGAACAATATTAAGACTTGAAATGAGGAAATTGGAATTTTTTACAAAGTCGTGGCAGTCATAGAAAGTATAAAAATCAAGAAAAAAAAAAGTCAGATGCCTCAAGCATCACTAGCATGAATGTTCAGGAACCAATCAACTTGATATAATTTGGAGCACTGAGGTAAGCCTATGTCTAGAAGATCTCAAATGTTTTCAAAACGTCTATAGATATGAAGCTCCTATCAAAGTATCAGGCTCTCAGAATTAATCAACTAGATACAGCCCCTAAGCGTAGAGACGAGCTTTTGTCTAAAAGACTTCAAATGCTGCCAAAATGTTTGCAGTTGTGAAGCTTATCCCACAGTACCAAATTCTTGAGAGGGTTTTATTTACCGAATGCCTAATATCAAAATGCATTTGAGCCAACTCAAATCCTTCCTTTAGTTTCAAGACGATCTTTGTGGATTCTCGTCTTGAACCCTCATTTCAATTTTTTTTTTTTCATTTTTGTCTTTTTTTCATTTTTCCCTTTTTCATTTTTCCTATTTTTTCTATTTTTCCTTTTTCCTTTTTCAAGTGTAATTCTTCTCAATTCTGAATTTATTGGATCACTTAACACTCCTTCGAAAATGACCTTATTGACAACGTATGATCCTTTCCTAATCAAGCATTCATTTCCCACGAAAATATTTTTGAATTGGCAAGATCTTTTCAATCACTAGATCACCCTTTCAATATTCTATTAGACGAACTTTCCTTTTATAAGCTCACATCATTTGCTTCTAACACATTTGTCCATGGTTGATAGCTTATTTTAACCTTTTTTCTTTAACGAAATTCAACTGATTACATTGAGCTTGGGTACGTCCAGTTTCGTCTTATCTATGTTTTGGTCGAAACTTGAAGTGACGAAATCTCGACAACAATGAATAAGATTATCTTTTATTCCAAAAATATGTTGCACCAGATCAAAGTACATGCGTACATAACCAAAGACAATATCTTGTGACAATTCTTACTACCCTTGAAGTTGAAAGACGACTAACGAGGAATTTCCACATGTTCTTAGCACTTAAATTTTCTTTCATGACTTATCTTATCCCCAGAGTGCGAGCCTCAAATTTACCCAATTATTGATGAAAAAGACTCCGGCCTGTTTGTGAAAGGATAACATAAGTTTTCTGAAGAAATCTTCATTGCCCCAAACTCTCATCCCAAAGCGTTCGATGCCGCATTAAAGTTTTCAAGATTCTTCACCTGATTTAATTTCTTCTTCAGTAGAAATGTATAATAAATCCTCATCTGGATAATTAAAACACATGGACTAATAATATTCTGATGCCCATCTTGCTAGATAATCTAGTATGTCACTCATTTTTGGCACTTTCTAGCTCACATTTAATGTCAGATTCTCATAACAACACTTGCTATTAAGCTATTATTCTAATCAATGCTGGTGACTGCATTAAGAACTCTAGTGGGTCGAGTCTAGAGATTGACCTAGTAGTAATGTACTACCTAAGCATTCGGGTATCCCATACAAAAACACATCATGTCTCCTAGATTGGCAGGTATCGAATCTCTCAATCAGCTAACTTCTTGCTTAGATAATTGACAGTTTTTTCTTCTTTCTGGACTCATCATGCAACCTTAACACATATCTCAAAAAAAGAGATTGATCTCTCTTTTGTTTCTTTTTCCTATTTTCGTATTTGTGGCTTGTTCGAGGAAACGACCGGCGGGGAACACGGTCTGGGACAGGCGGCTGTGATGTGGGCACGAACAGGGTAAATAATTTTTACCCGAGGCATTTTCGTCTGTCTCGAGGCAATCGGCGACGAATCTGGATACGGTGGCAAGTCTTGGGAATCAATGAGTCACGGGCTATCATCTTAGTCGGGCACGTGTATGAATGATCGGCGCGTGGAGGCGGCGGGCTTGGCACGTGGTGGCAGAAAAATTTAGATCAAAACCTTAAGGTTCACTGCATCTGGGTCGTTGGATCTCAACAGGTCCAACAACTGATAAGTGGATACACAGATGGGGGTATTCTCTCCAAACCCTAGCTAGAACATGGGTTGCTGGATTCAGGCTTCCGGTTTTGGGCCTATAACAGAAAAAATTAAATAAAATTAAATTTTAATGCATTATATATATATATATATTCAATTTAATTGCATATTATTATATATTTATACATATATAATAATAACTACGTACCCCTAATAACATATATAAATAATTAATTATATATATGTATCCCGAACGAAATTTGAACGAACCCCCAAAAAAATGAACATCTACACAAAATTTAAATAACTAATTATAAAATATATTTTATTTTTATGAGTGGAATTAAACCTTCAATAAATAAAGTAAAATTCTCGTTCTGTCAAGGATTACTATATGTGCATTAACAAGGACATATACATAATTTTATATTAAGAGTACGAATCTTTAATAAATTTTAAAAAATTTAGATATATTTGAAAATACTTTTGGAAGCCATCATAATTTTACCCTAGTCTCAATATCTCACGGTCTATCTGCGAGTATTAGCATCACATGATTGCACATGCATCTTTGGCAAGTTCCGGTCGTCGAGCCCCCACGATTGCCTCATTCGTGCACCATTGTGATCATTGTCATTTCCCATTCTTTTCGGCGTAAATCCATTGTGAGTTAGAAAAGAGGATGGCACTTTTGCATGCTTTACTTGCCTAATTCTATTACTTGTCTAATTTGCCTTTGAATTCTGTCTAACAGCTAAGGGAAGGTCAACGTATGGTACTTCTCACGCTTTGACTTTCCATTATAGATTTAGCTATAACATATGAATATAATGTCATGGCAGTTAAGAGCAGTTATGGAATAATACTAACTGTCATATTCGTTGTATATATACGTAAAGACATATCAAAGATTTCATGTTAAGGGACGGATTTATAAAATTTTAAAAAGTAAAAATATATTTTTCAATAAAAATAATATATAAATATACTAGAATCTAAAATTTTGAGGGACGACTGTCCACACCTGTCCCTTCTCATCATCTTTACATATACATATGAATCTGATCATATATATATATTTACTTGCGCATGCATGCATGCATGCATAAACGGTGGTACTGTTACTGGATGTGCGTTAGGTATAGTTATTTTTACTTTTTGTTGTGAACCACCTGAATAGCTCCGGCTAAAGCGCAGCAAATTAATTCCTCCACTTTGACTTCAACCTGCTGTTTTTAACGAATAACTGGTGCTGAAAAACATCTGCATGCATCTTGTCAACACATGCACTACCATTTACAAATTACTAACAATAGCTTTTGGTTTGGTTATTATAAATTTATATATTATCACAGTAATAGACGTAAAATCTTATGTTAGAGGATGAAGTTTTAAAATATTAAGAGAGTCGTGAAGTTATAAATTACGAGAGAATGAAAATATATTATCAATTCAAAATACAAAAAAATTATATATGATAATTTAAATTTTTTAGGGAGCCATTACTCCCACCCATCTCTCTTTTGATCGTTCCTATTTATCAATGAATCATAAGGTATCGTTTGTCAGAAATATTGATAATTTAGGTTTATTTTAATGATTTACTAACATAATGATGATGCGTTTTATGGGTAGTGTTTGAATTTATTTATAGTGGGTTCATGAATTAAAGTTTATTACATCTTTAGAGACAATCAAAGGCGAAAATTTTCATTTCACCCTATATGATCATTAAACTCCTCAAATATTTGAAAATTTTCAATTATTTCCATAAATTTTTTAAAATCTCTCTCTCACACACACACAATACATATACACGCACGTGTGTGTATATATTTCCCCAAAATCGAATAACAATATCCATCAAACTAAAAAGCCAAAACTTCTATTGTAACTTTCTCACACAAATTCTTAAATTGGTCAAATTCTTCTATTAATCCTTGTACTCTATGATTTAATCCTTTTACTCTTATTTGGAAATTTTTATTTATAAACTTTTTAGATTTTAAAATTTTGGTTATGATTCAAATAAATCATGTAGAATTAATATAATTAAATTACAAACACCTAAAAGACTCAAATTAAAAAATATATATTTATTCTACAACTTATACATAGTATAAAAACTAATAAAAAATTAGACCATTTAAATTTTCTTACACATTAAAAGCCAAATGAATATATGTATGACCAAAATTGAGTAGGGGACACGTATATGTCGGTAAATGAGAATAAAATCAAGAGAAATGACGTCTGACTTCATCACCCATCAGCATGTCTCTAAAATTAAATTAGTTGCAATTAGACATAGGTATCATTAATTGTGTCGAAATGGAACACCACCATCAATCTTGCCTATAAATACAAATTAACCACATCCCATCCTTTCAGGTATTCAATCAATATTGTCTTTTGTCTTCGATTTAGTCCGAAACTGAAGTACACAATGTCCCTAAACACTCATTGTCTCCCACTCCTGTTCACATTAATCTCTCTGTCCTGCTGCTTTAGCACCGGCAGTTACATAGAGGACCCATTTCGCGTCGGTTTTCGTCATGGCCGTGCTTATCACCGCCCGACGTCCTATCATTCGTACTTTCGCACCTTCGACCATGTTCATAACAAACGAAACTACCGTAATCCCTACTCGGCGAACCGGTTCGACTACGATGCCAAAGTGCGTGGTCCGACGACTCCAAAGATAGTCAATGTCGATGATTTTGGAACTAAAGCTAATGGAGCAGACGATTCTCAGGTACTCACAGTTTCACTTCTTCATTTCGGATGTTTTGTTCTCTCAATGATGATCACCGTGCTATATGTTTTTTTTTTTTTGACGTAGGCGTTCGAGCAAGCTTGGAAGTATGCATGTTCATCTTCTCAAGGAGCTACTATGGTGGTACCTAAGCAGAAGATTTATCGTCTTAAGCCAATTAACTTCTCAGGGCCTTGCAAATCTCCTCTCATATTGCAGGTGAGTTTTCCGGGCTCTCGGTGAAGTCGTGCATCATCGTTATCGATAGTTAACGTTTTTCCTATGATTGCAAACATGATAGATCTATGGAACAATCAAAGCTACCGAGGATCACTCGGATTACGAAGATGGCGGAAGACGGTGGCTATTCTTCGATAAAGTTCAAAATTTACGTGTTGAAGGCGGAGGCACAATCGACGGCAGCGGTAGGACATGGTGGGAAAAGTCCTGCAAAATCAACGAAGCCCTCGTGAGTGATTTTTTCCATCAAAATCATTTGTACCAATCAATTGATATTCAATATTAACAACTAATTTTGATTCTTCTGTTTTGCAGCCTTGCAAGGAAGCCCCAACTGTAAGCTACTACTCGCCTTCAGATTAATTTTCTTTGTATTTTCTATTGACAATCTATTTCCGTTCCTTAAATTCGCCTCCATTGACATAAAACTTTGTGTCGGTCCGTGACTACGTGTATGTTAATGTTTCCTCTTTGCAAATGCAGGCTGTGACCTTCAATGAATGCACTAACGTGAGAGTATCAAGTCTGCAGATAACAAACGCACAACAAATGCACCTTACGTTTCAACAATGTGTGAACGTCGACGCGTTTAATCTTCAGGTGAAAGCACCGGGGAATAGTCCGAACACCGATGGGATCCACGTGACCGGAACCCAGAATATTAACATTAACAACTGTGTCATCGGGACCGGAGATGACTGCATCTCGATCGTTAGCGGCTCGAAAAATGTACATGCGACCGGTATAACTTGTGGTCCGGGCCATGGCATCAGGTCTCGAGTTTGACAAACGTACAGTTTTCGAATTAAGTCACATTTTAAAGTAAAATTTTCTAATGGGAATTGTTCTATTTGCAGCATTGGGAGCTTAGGAGCCGGAAATTCTGCGGCTTTTGTGTCCAATGTAATAGTTAATAAAGCGACACTTTCAGGAACGTCCAATGGAGTGAGAATAAAGACTTGGCAGGTAATTAATTCGATATAAAATTCATTTTTGATGCATTGGTATCGAGTTGAGTTTAAAAAAATTTCGTAAAATAATTGTGAATAACAAGAATCAAAACCTCTATAATTTAATTAAAAACTGAAAAATGATTACAACATGGCAACGACTTCAAACAACCGCTTTTCATTAGTTTTCCACTTGCTTCTTGACTTGCTATTCACAATTTGTTTACCTAAAGTTTCAACCATCCACCAAGAAATTCATTCATCCATTGCCTAATTCCTACGAAATTGTAAAGGCTTTCAAATAAAAATTCATTGCCTATATTAAACTATATCATTCCTTGAGGACTCTGGTTCGAGCACCGAGAATGTCAGGGGTGTGAGTGTTCAATGTCAAAAGATTGAGAGTTATCTTTGAACATATATTATCTTGTACTTACTCTAGATTAATAAAAAAAACTATTATTTCTAGTATCTTCCATATTTATTTTACGTTATAAGTTCGGGATTTATGATTATCTCTTCTGATAATATCTTCTTCAATTATATATTACAATATTTTAATATGGTCGAATTTTTATTACAGGGTGGATCGGGATATGCTAGAAATATCAAGTTCCAAAATATTGTGATGAACAACGTCACTAACCCTATCATTATTGATCAAAATTATTGCGATCAACAAAAAACATGTCGCAAACAGGTAAAATTTCTTTTCTTCTACCAGTAAATTTTAGGGTAAATTACGTATTTAGTCACGTAAATATTCATGTGGTTTTATTTTAGTCGCCCAACTATTTTTTTTTCAAAATCATTCCTAACATTACATTTTTGTCACCTACCTTTAAAAAATTAAGGTGATGTTAACATGTCACCATAAGATAATGTCATATCATTTTGAAAGATAAAAAATAAAAATTTGTCCTGTCAACAATTTTGTTAACTTTTTAACGGTTGGTAACCAAAACATAACTTTATGTATGATTTTGGAAAAAACAATTAGTTGGGTGACTGAAACGAAGCTGCGAGAATAGTTCGATGATTAAATTCATAGTTTACTCTAGGTTTTAAATATATCAATTATTTAGGTTGATGAAACATATATGCATGCATGCAGGGTTCAGCTGTGCAAGTGAGCGACGTGCTTTACCAGAACATAAGAGGAACGAGTGCCTCCGGCGTGGCCATGAAATTCGATTGCAGCCAGAGCGTTCCTTGCCGGGGAATCTACTTGCAGAACGTGGCTTTAAGGGCTGAAGAAGATGATAATACACAAGCTTCGTGTTCTAATGTTAGGTTATCTTATACAGGAGATGTTTCCCCGCCTTGCTCGTCACAGAATTAAGACAAGCCTATCTGTTAAACTATAAAATATGAAATATATTTATGTATAATGTTAATATATCAACCGAAATCGAGATCCATTAATCGACCGAGTGGTCAGGGATACTCGTATTATCCCACCTTGTGTGGATTCGATTTCCGACATTTGACTAAATATAATACCTTTCTACCTTATCAAAAATATATCAACCGAAATGTAGTAACAGAACCTTTTATTTGAAAGCGATTTTTATTGAAATGGTTTGAATCTTTTCTATCTAAAAAGAAGAAGCTAAAAACCTAATATTCATAAAAAAAATCATTTCTAATTCTCATCATTGAAATCAATGGCTGGAAAATATAAAACAATAGCATCGACGCTGCCTCAATCGTTCCTATTTTGAGTGTTGTTTTATTGGGTTGAAAGAAGAGCAATATTACCAAATTCACAGCGTCTTTCTGGTGTATGAAATGTAGAGAGTCAGTTTAACTTCGGGGGGCATTCGTTCAGCGACGAATCCAGAAATATTTTTAAACTGTTGTTCAAATATGATATGGGTAAAAGGAACGATAAAACCATATGCTGAAGTGTGATGGTGTTGGTATCGCCATTTTTCTTACGATACTTTCGGTAAGATTTTACTTTAATCAACTAGTGGTTAGAGAGATTATTTCTTTGTGTCTGCACTTTGGTGAGGAAACATTGGAAATCTCTTAAACCTGTCGTACTGTCAATGGAAGGATGTCACATTTCCATGTTTGAGTGTAATGAGTTGATAAATTGAATATTGCTTTAAAATATGATGGGAGAAATGTATTATACATCTTTATGGAAATTGATGTTTCATTTTCATTTATGGAAATTCAGAGGTTATTATAGAACATCTTGGTGTCCATTTTATTTTTCCACCAATTAATTCTTGACACGTAGATTAGCCTATTTGTTTACCTTTGTCGTAACCGATTTTCGGTGAGAAAAGACCGATACTACTTTTTTGGGAAAATATTGTGAAACGAAATGGGGAGTCGTCACCAATCATTTTTAAAGGTGAAATTGGACTCCTAAAATCAAGTAAATTTAATAAAACATTTTATTTTATCAAAAATACCAAGTTTTGGTTGTGAAATCAGAAATTAGGTTCGGGAGTCAGTTACGCGTGGGGAATGATTAACACCCCCAGCGCCCAAAATTGGTACCTATTTGATTACCCTATATTTTTAAAAAAATTGAAAGTTTTGAGTTTGAAATTTTATTTAATTTAAAATCCACTATGTATGTATATTTTTTTAAAGGATGTCAATTTACCAAAACTAATAACGACTATCTCTAAGGAAAAGCGGAAGCTTCATTATCAATCACAGTAAATGTACATTGCCTTAATAATTTAAAAAAAATCATGATGTGGATTTTGAAAAGGATGCTGATTTACTTCGAGAATCAATAGCGTCACCCCGAGCAAAAGCGGGAGATACACTAACAACTCCCTAATATATGAACATTGTCTTATTTAAAATCAAAATGCAATCAACCAATCAATTATGGAACCTAATTATACTAGATGAATTAATTAAGGATTCCCTCTAACTTAAAGTGTCAAATTATGAAATTGAAAGAACCTAAGGATTAAACCTAAAAAATGTAGGCTCTAATATTAACTTAAATTAATTTTAATCAATTATGACATATCGAATAATTAATTCGAAACCTCAAGCAAAAGCGAGGACTAAATTAAAATTCACCAAATTTAAGGACTAAATGTGAAATTAGGCCTAAGATGGAGGCTCTAAACAATTCTCTACTCAATTTTAATCAATTATGCACATCAAATAATTATTTCAGAACCTCAAGAAAAAAATGAGGACCAAATTAAGAATTCACCTAATTTAAGGACTAAAATAAAAAGATTCTAGGTTTAAGGATTAAATATAAAAACCAAACAATCTATCAAGGACTAAATTAAAGGAAAATTCAAATTATCAATAAAAATTGAAAGTAATTATAAAACATAAAGGACTGAATTAAAATAAATTAAAATGCAAAGCTGAAATTAAAACATAGAGTAAAATGACTAAAATGAAAGAAATCAGAAAATAGACCTTAAATTAAAATAGTGCAGGAAATTAAAAGCTGAAATTGAAATGACTAAAATATAAACATTGAAACTAAAAGGAAAAAATTTAAGATACAGTAATTAAACAATCGAATAAAATTAGAAGTTAGGGTTAATTTTTAACTATTACCTGGATCATAAATAACACGAATCGTACCCCAGAGCGGGTTTTCGCGAGGTCGTAAAATGTTTCGAATATAAATGAAATTAAACAGGGATCAAAATAAAATAAAATAACAGTGAGTAGATTATAAATAAAAATAGTGGGCAAAATAAAAGAAAATAAAATATAGCAACTAATTTTGAAATAAAAAATATAAATGAGTGATTAAAATAAAACTAATGAAACTATAGCATCATATTCAAAATTATTAAAAAACGAGGAATGGATGATTATTTTGTAAAAAGGCGCCTAAATGTCAAGGACCTAAGAAGAATTAACCCCAAAACTTCTTAATAAACACCTCAACAAAATAATAAGGTAAATTAGCATGATCAAACCTTACAATCCAGAATAAAATTCAAAATAGTCCAAAATCAATGACAATGGTGCAAATATGCGGCTAAAGCTTGGGGGACTTAAAGGAAATTAATCCAAAATTTAAATGTATCCTAATATTAACCTAAAAAGAACTAAACCTAAACCTAAAACAAAAATAAACTTCATTTTCCTCTCACCCTTACCAAACGTCCGGCGGCGCCAAGCCCCCCAACTCTAAGGCCTAAACCAACTCTGGCCAACAGCTTGGATGTCGACACCACTTTCGATCCTCCCCTAATTCCGACCGAGAAGGCGACCTAAGGTAAAAACAACCAAAAGCCCCTCTTTTTACTCTCTCATTCCTCACGACCAGCACCCCTAAAGATTTCGGCCACCACGAGGGCCAAGACTCCGGCAATGCCTCAAAACCAAAGGTAACTAAACCTTCCCTTATTTATATTGCTTTACTTTTAAAAAAATGCTGTTGGAAAAAATGTAAAAAAAACCTTTGAATGTTGTTGATATTGCTTTGTATTGATTTTCGATGGGAGAGGAGAAAGTCCTCCCTATACTTTTGATTTTGTTTTTCTAGAGAAAGAATCTGGGGGAGCTGTTACAATTTTCCTTTGGGTTTTTATAACCCAAAATGTTACAAGATTTTTTTCCAATGTAAAATATCCTTTTTGCTTTGTTGTTTGTATGTGATTTGCTGATGAAGATGCTAGAACGTGGAGCAGGGGAGACCATGGTTGGGTTGAGGTGCTGGCAGCTGTTATGGTGTGCATACGTGGTTGGTTTTGGTAAAAATGGTGATTACAACTGCCCCTCTTTGATTATTGTTGTGGAACATGAATGGAGCAAAGATATAAAGCACCATTTTTAGCTTGAACTGTTCAAACTTCTGAGCTACAAGTTCTTCTTATTATGAACTTTTCGCTCACTTCGGACGATTTATTCTCGTTATGAACCCTTCTTTTGAAATGTTGATCCACCTTCTTCTGTGATGAATTTGAGTAAAAATTTGAACAAGTTCTTCTTATTATGAACTTCTTCTTCCTCCTCGGATGAGTTCTTCTCATTATGAACCCTTCCATTGGAAATGACGATCCACCTCATTTTGTGATGGATTTGAGCAAAAATGGCAATGTTGATCCACCTCCTTCTATGGTGGAATCGAACCAAATGTTGATGTTGACATATCTCCTTCTGTGATAGAATCGAGCAAAAGGGAAACAAGTTCTTCTCATTATGAACTTCTTCTTCCTCCTCGGACGAGTTCTTCTCATTATGAACCCTTCCATTGGAAATTATAGTCAACCTCCTTTTGTGATGGAATTGAGCGAGAGTGACAATGTTAATGCTGATCTACCTCTTTCTGTGATATAATCGAGCAAAATGGTGATGCTGATCCAACTTCTTATGTGATGGATTCGTGCAAAAGGTTGAACAAGTTCTTCTCATTATGAACATCTTCTTCCTTCTCGGACGAGTTCTTCTCATTATGAACTCTTCTATTGGAAAAGATGATCCACCTCCTTCTGTGATGGATTTAAATCTACAAAAATAATTGTCATATGTCATTAACAATTGTATTTGAAGTAACCGAAGGTTCTCGAATCTTTGTTGAGATCCACTTCTTTCAAAAATGAAGATGTGGATTAATTATTTGCTAAAATCTTCTTCTTCAACATAGAATTGTGAGATCTCTGCTAACTTTGGAATTCATGTCAAATAATGAATAAGTGAAAAGAAATTTGTTTTAAGAGAAGTTATATCAGGTGAGATAAATTTTTGTTTCGAGTGAAACAATTACAGGTTTTGTGTTTCAAGGGAAACTGTCTCAAGCGAGACGAAATTGATTTTAAGGAAAACAATTTTAAGTGAGATGAATTTTTGTTTCGAGTGAAACAATTCCAAATTTTGTGTTTCGAGGGAAACTGTCTCAAGCGAGATGAGGTTGATTTTAAGAAAAACAATCTCAAGTGATATAAATTTTGTCGTATCAGATGAGAAACTTTGAAAATTGATTTCTCATTTTCAAAAATATCAAATGAATATATCATGCCTAAAGTTCTTATAGATTTCTTGGAAATAATTTACTAAGTAAAAAACTTTAAAAATCATTTTCTTACTTTTCAAAAATTTTAATTTTGGGAAAGATTAAATGAGAAAAATTGAAAATCGCTTCCTCATTTTTCACAAATCATATGTAAACATCTTAATGGTTGGGTAACATGCCCCACTTCCAAGTAAATGATTTTTATGTGGATTGGACTCCTTCGCTCTAGAGACTCTGCCGCTCCAAACATGATTTCTTCCTTTTGAGGTTTGAATTATGATTTTCTCTTCTCGAGACCTTGTCATCATAAATCTTTCCTTTCCTTGGAAGATTTGTAAAGAATTATGCATTTATTTATGAAGACATGAATGCAATTAAATGTGTCTAAATTTAATGCCTTTTTCTTATGCAAATGATATTCTCATGGATGCA